GCATTTCCAATAAACTACAGATATTCATCAACAACTGCTTACGCTGGCTACTGAAGATCAGATGGCCAGAAAGAATAAGCAACAAGGAACTCTGGGAACGAACCAACCAAGAACGTATCACGCAACAAGTATGCAGGAAGAAGTGGAGATGGATTGGCCATGCACTGAAAAGGCCGACTGAGGACATCACGCGTCAGGCCAGTCGCTCGAGTGGAATCCCCATGGGAAGCGACGAGTTGGACGTCCCAGTTGAGGGTGACATGGAGGAGGTCATGCGAGGAGGAAATGAGAGGTTTTGGGCTGTCGTGGGACCAGGTTCAAAAGATCTCAGAGAACAGAGGTCACTGGAGGCGTGCTACTGAAGCCCTATGTTCCACTAGGAACCCAAGGGACTAATAATAATAAAATAGACAAGGTAAGCTAGATCTCCCCATAACACGGTATCGGTCAAAATTGACAAGTTTCAAAACAGTACAGAAATAGAAAAGCTTTTGTAATGAAAAGACAGCACAATGAACTAGAAGGAAATGACTGGAGATCGAATGAATAAATAAACAATAACAGGTTCTTTAAAATTTAGATCGGGGTAAATATTAAATATATCTGTGCTCTTTGTGAATAGTTTGAAGTCACATCTGGAAGGGTCTTCAACCTCTAATTCCTGCATTTTGAAGGTCATCACCAGGGTTGTCTGAACTTCTTAACATAGCCAAGAGTAAAAAGTTTTGACAGTACATTATTGTCATGCGGCTAAAAAGAGCGGAATTAATGTGTCTGACATTAGCTTTTACAGTGATTCTAAAGGTCACCATAGCAACTGTTAAAACAACCAATCCGGTTTTGGTATTTCGACTGGGAAGTTGGTTTTTTGACCAAATAAAAACCAGCAACTGGTTATCTTAGTAATTGTTATAGTGACCTTTAAAAGTACTCCTTTTCAGCTGGTAGTACAAATCAGCATAAACACGTTGTCTGATCACTTAAGTGAATTTGTCTCCACCTCAAACTTCATGTATTTGAGCCTAGAGATCGTTACTGCGTATTATTACAGAATATTATATTTATTTGTCCAGTGAGCGGTATTGAAGCCATTGAAAAGTGATAATTATTTCGAGACTGAGATCCATGGGTGTTTTTCTTGAATTCAAAACACTTATCCGCCAATTAATTTTGTTTTATGTTCATTTGTCAGCATCACTTCTAAACCCATCGTGTCATTATAATCTAAACGCTAAGCCTGCAACACTAGCTGACCTCAAAAATGTCCTTTTTCGACAAGCCAGGAAAGTCATGAGTAACTTTAATGGCCAATGTAGTAACAATTGAAGTAGCCAATCAGATTTCTCTATTTTGTGAAAATCTACTTTTCCAGTGGAAATGAAGAAACCTAATTGGTTGTTTCGATCGTTGCCAGGATGGCCTTTAAAGTTGTTCAAAACCATATTTGCAAAACTTAAAGTGAAATGTGCAGACTCTAAGGCTAGTGGACGATTGAGTCACCACTGTGAACAAATACGGAAAGGGAATCACATTTTCATGGCCATCCACCCACTGGTTAGCTATCCACCCTTTACTACTTTGATTCGTCATAACGTAGTAACGTGACATCTTTCCATTTCAGCGATAATGACCAACGATTAGATTTCACCGTATCCATTATTTTGCATCGTGACAATAATGATTCTCTAAATTTTGCTTACCTCAAAGTTATTCAAAGAATTCTACTGTATATATGTCATTGAGTGATTACGTTATATTAGGAAACACCACGGAGTAACGGAGCAAGTAGATTTTATGAATGGTGCAACCAGTTATGGTGAATGAATATAAAAGCAGATGACATTTTCCCTATATCCAATCAGCTTTACATTATTTATATTATGACTATAATGTTATTAATATTATGCTCGTTTTGCCGCTCAATAAAATGTAGAATGAGAGTTCCATCCGACTGAAAAATTATCAGTGAATTTTCAATTAATTCCACAGTTGTTTAAACATTCTGAAATGATTATTGTTCAGTAGACTTGACCTGAATAATAAGAAGGGCAGTGGTTGAACTTAAATATTATATGTTGTGATCGAGTGAAATTACGGGCGAGAGTATAATGATACTGAAACTCAATAGACACCACAACCGAATACTGTTACGACTAACCTCCTTAGTTCCCTCTGCCTCACTGAGCCATAATATCAGAAGACGAAAGACTGGCCTGTGACTGTAAGAACAACTTTACTAAACAAATACATGCGATATATATATTTACAAAACCCTCAGAAAATGAAGCCATCAATAAACCAATCCGATTGGTTATATTACGTCGGATTTGTCCAGTCAGGTTATCATGTCAATACATGCATAAATCATGATCTGATCATGTTTTGAAAACAATCTCTCTACTGGCTGCCTTTTTTGCCGCTACCTATTATTATACAAGTCCTGTTGTTGCTCAGTAGTCAGAATTTTAGTATGTTTACACTTCTTTTCAGAAGGTCATCTCCAAGGCACTATTTAGTTAAAATAAAAATCCAAATCTAATCGAAGTCAGTCGGCTAGCGAAAAAACTGATTTAAATCTCATTGTTGTATAAGAGAAACAGCCAGTAAATTCATTGCGTTTTACTAGCCTGAGAGGTCAAAATGTAAGGTAACATATCAACCTTGAATCGTGATATACTCAAAAACGAAGGTCATCAGAAAAATTCTAGGTTGCATTAAAAGTGCAATCGATAAGTGTTTTATAACGGTAAAAATTTTTTTAATATGGATTAAAGTTATTGCGTTAGTGGTGCCGTTTGAAACACTTTTATGTTTTCGATATGATTTCATGTGGTTACAGTGTATAAAACGACAAGACTGAGACGTAGGAAGGAATGTTTATTATTGACATCTTGTACAGTTGCGATGAAATATTGAACACATTCCACTAAAAAAGTCATTTGCACAATGTGCTTCATTTCTTCTTCTGCTTCGATTCTCTCTTAATACGCCCGCATTGTCTCTTTTGTTTCTCTGTGCAGAATATTTACTCATTGCCGGTAATTGCGTATGATTTCTTCCGCTCTCTCAACATATACTACTTATATTCATTCTGATCAGCGGCACCCACTATAGTAGATCTAGTTATTCTGCGAAGTAATATTCATAACTGAGATTTTAACCCTCAAAGACAGTTTTCACTAATCTGGATCATACAAAATACAGCTAAAAACCAGTGAGAACTGACCATTTGATTTGTTCTGCTTTGTAACTCATGAGTACTGGATACATATAAGCAAATACAGATCACGTGATATTCATCAGCCAAACTGACTAGAATGAAATAGTTCATAATTTTCAATTACAACCAATCCATGGTTTAGTGCAATCGTCATCTGTTGTCACTGTTCGGCACGTGCCTTAGTTTCCAAACTTCCTCGATTTTATAGATTACAACATCCTGTTCTTAATTTAAGAAGTTCACCTCAAATTAATTCATAAACAGGCAATAAAAGATAGCTGTTTAACGCCTAAAAGCCATCTTCCTAATAATCATTTGCCTACGGATGAGACAATTGAAATCGCTTAGCAACTACACATTCTCATCAACTGTCAGTTAAGAAGATCAATTCCCGCCTATTAAAAGTATATATACGAACAATGTCTTACATCTGATCTAATGAAAAATCGATGTTGTGCAGTGCCAAGAATCTTGGACTACCACTTAGTAGTCAATAACGTTTGGTGTTTCGTTAATTCAAGTTGGTTTATGATCAGAAATATGTCGGTTAATAAAGAGTGAGATTCTTAAACCTATACATAATTAAGATTGCAAAGTATGTGTAATCTAGATATTTATCCTTACGATAGTTTATTGTAATGACAGAGTAGTAAGGGTAAGACTAAAATTCATCTCCGGGTGTTATCGTGCTTGCCATAAGTTGTAGGTTTCCTGGCGAGAATACAAAACTTTTCTGTGTTCCGTATGAATATTTCTACTATTTGCATACTTTTTGAAATGCTGTCTGTCAATGAATTATGTTTCATACCGTTTATTCATTTGTAAATTATTGACTGCACTTCCATTTCTGAGGCGGAAGTAATTACTTAAGTATGGTATGGTATACTTAAGTCTATTTATTCAAGATGAGTGATGCTCACAGATCACTGTGAGTTAGCAGAAGCTTCAAATCATATCGAAAAGGATTTATGATTGCAGTTTTCACTTCAGAATACATACATACAGAACACAGAAGGCTACAACACCTGGGGATAACTTTTAGTTTCACCCGAGCAGTAACTAAAAACATGAATCTGACGAGTGAAATATGCGAAACGAAAATTTTTGCTTGACTAACTCTGAGGCACATATAACTGATAGTCTTGTCATACCTATGAAGTAATACTTTCCATTCTACCAGAACTTTCAAGGAATAAGAATTCAAAACGGTAGAAAGGTGAAATTAAACTATGTCGTCTCAAGCCCCATGGAATTCCAGTTGCGAATCAATGTGACTCCCGAAACTAAGTTCAATAGAAATGATAATGAAGACATCATAACTGGTGAAAACGTAGTGGTGTTCTCATTGAGTGGTTTATTTATTGATGAAGATCAGATAGAGAGTTGTAGAATATACCTAATTTGGAAGTGAAATTTAATTGTTTTAACTCATGATTCTCAGCACTACTCGGAGATTAGTAGATAATTCAGTTGTAAATGAGTAGGTTGTTTTCAGGTCAAATACTTCAGTGATAAACTATCTGCATTTTGTGATGAAAAGCCTCACTGATTTTTTTTGTGAAGAAAAGTGAGTTTTTCTTTAACACTATCAAAAAAATGTTATCTTAGGTTCATTGCTTTCCTTTAAAAATTTGGAAAGAAATTAATTTCATATTAAAATTCAACATATTATTAAATCGTCATGCCAACCAAATTTTGTGCATTGTGCATACTTTTCCATTTAACCCCCCCCCCCCCCACACACACACACACACACAAACGGACACGTATGCACGGACAGTAAACCAGTGTTCACATTTGATTTGGGATCACCAGTTGGTGATGTCGCATGGGCACCATACTCTTCAACTGTATTTGCAGCAGTTACAGCTGATGGTCGTGTACACGTCTATGATCTATCAATTAATAAATATGAACCATTATGCAACCAGTTAGTAGTACCAAGAAGAAGACAAAATTAACGCATATTGCATTTAATCCAAAATATAGTATAATCATTGTTGGTGATGATCGGTGAGTTAAAAAGTTTTTTTTCTGAAAGCTGGTTAATTATTTAAGACGAGTTAAACTTTGAATGAAATTTGAATTAAATTGAGAGAGGGTTTCGTTGCCATTATTAGAACAACAAGTTATAGAATAATGCCACCAATAACAACTACTTATTTTTGGCATCAGTAAAAGATGTGATAAAATCAAAAAATTGCCAACAGCATCACTCACTGGGAGGCAGGTACGTCAGGCTGAGGAGTCCCAAATTGGACGAGACGTGCGTCATGGATTCCACTGTTAGCCACTATCCATCACAAATATATCAGTGAATTATTTGTTTCGTAATGGGGGGTTTTGAAATCTTTCTTTTTGGATCCTTTAATTATTTGTATTAACCTTTGATCACATGAGCAACCAGTTATCTCTCCAACTGACCTATACATTTGCTTCTGTAAGCATATTTTAATTGAAATTCACAGTTAAAAAAATCAACAACTAAGCTGATGCCTTTCCTAGAGAGTAGTAAGGACTTCTACAACTAATTAGGACGGTTAGGAAGACAATAAGCTATTTTTGATCAGTTGCTGTGTAAAAATGGGAATATCATGAGTTCGAAGCGAAGCAACATGCTGAGGATCGTTGAAAATGGGTTCTGACTGTAAATGCTGAATTGTTCTTAGAGAATATACCATTCGCAGTAAACACTTTTGTAGTAGAACATTCTCTACTTTATTCTTTGCTGGACATTAATTGGAAAACTAGACCAACAAGAAACATACATCTTACAACAGAAATTAAAATATAGGATTAAGAACAAAACGAAGGTCACTAATTAGTAGCTGAGAGGTAACAAACACTGTAATCTTTAATTTTCAATAATCAACAGGTTCCATCGACTAGGCATACAATGAAACCATTAAATCAATTGATTTAATATTTCAGTGACCTGTGTTCGATGCTTAATTAATGGAGTCAGTTTGCAGGATGTTGTTGTTTATATAAGTCTAGCGGTTGTGAACACAAATGCATTAGTTGTAACTAAGGCAATCCAGGCTTCTTTAATGAATTATATTCATATCAACCAATCTCTAGTAAATTCAACTTCTAATCGTGAGTAAATCAACGGTAAATGATGATTTTTATTCATATCAGTTGAATAGAACCTGTGTGTTATGAAAAATGAATTCAGTTGATATGTTTTGTAATTTTATTCAGACAATACATTGAACTCAACTAACAGTTATCATGATGTTCATTTAATTTCGTTTGGACTCAATTGAATGTCTACTAACATCAGATTATGATAAAAATGTTACTTGTTTCAGCGTATAATTGCGATTAAATAATGATTAAATTGGTGAATTAAAACTTTATGAGAATCTGAATAGGAATACGAAGATACTACAACACATACATTATAAAACTAAATATTCTCATAAAATAACAATTTATGAGAATAAGAGCAAATATATTCCGAAATTTTAGAATAAGTGGCTTTATATTGATAGGAAAAGTCACTTCGTAATCGACAGGATATAATATGTACAAAGTTGAATTACGATAATAAAAATGGACTTTAGACTCAATTCAGAAAAGAAGTTTTATCACGTGATGATGTAGTCAAACAAAACAGAGTCCTAAATAAACATAGTGCCAATCGAGCAAAAAATATAAGTTGCTTTACTTGTTGACGATGAAGGATTTTAAGACATATATTCGGTGTAATAGTGATGTCTAGCTCTGGAATTCAGGACACACATTTCGTCCTGATTAACTTTCTTCAGCTGGATGCACTTGCATCTCAGTGAGTGATGATATTTTCACTGAGACTCGCTTCAAACGCCAGAACGTTACCCATTAGACAGCTGAATCCGCAAGCAACCTCCTGCTTCTAACTTCCTAGGGATTATTATACTGGGCCGACTTGATCGACTTCTCATAGCTGCCTGATGCAATTAAGTTTATTTAAGCTTTCTGGATTAGCTGCTTGCATTCTTAACTTCAGGACTTCACATTGTCTGACTGCTGAAAAGCGTAACTTCAAATCATCTAGTTTAAAGGTGAGTCAGTTTTTTTCTTGTAGACCAGAAATTACAATCGAAAATGCTGACTAGAACTGGAAAAAAGCAGGCGGCTTTAAGATGTAGACGCTGAAATGTCATCTGAAATTAGGATGATCCCAACCTAGGGGATGACATAATCACTCGCTATATGGTCGAATTAGTATATCTATAAACAGTCTGTACTTAGAGCTGTACAAAAATTACGGGAAAGTAAATTTTGAGTATCAACCTTCAGTTCATTAGAAATTCTTTTTATGCGTGTCTGCTATAGAGAAGAATTTATGTTTGCTTATTTTGATGGTGACAATTTTAGTAATCAATTACCTTGAGTACTGTTATTCATGCAATGATTAGAAAGAGAACAAAACTTCGAGCTGAACAATCTGAATATTGCCAATTCAACGTTTTATCAACGAAGTTGAAGTGTATATTTTTACATTCAATGTTGAAGCCAACATACTAAACAAAATAAAAAATCAATACAAGTTTATTCATCCTCATTATTATTAGCCTCTACATGTGACTTAGCATTTTAGACCCTAATAGCTGATTGGTGTTTAAACTAAGCTTTCTTGTCAAACAAGTTTTATCGTTCGAATAAACCTGCTATTTTTTGCTCCTCTCAAACCATAATATAAACATACACATGCAGTCCTGTATTTAAAAAAAAAACTGATTTTTTAATTTTCATCTACTACATTTTAGTGGACAAGTGAACAGTTTGAAGCTTTCACCTAATCTACGTAAAATACCAAAGGTAAGCCTAAATAAAATGATCTTTACAATTATTATTATTAATCCTAATCACAGTATTGTAATAACGTGGGTTAAAATGTTAGTAATCTGGTAGACAAACAGACAAAATCGACGTAAAGCCTCACACACATCGTTTCAAGTTGCCACACATCACAGTAATATAAAAAGAACAAATGGATAGAAAAAGAGTAATATCAAAGCTGAGAAAGTTGTGTGAAATCATAAACAGTTTGTGGATAACGGTTAGAGCAAATATTTAAGCTTCAGAAGATGTCAAAACGTGAATACATCTGCACCATTGTGATCGGTTTTCAGACACTTCACCAAGAGTTCTCAACCACTGATTCCTTTCGTCTTGCGGACCCCAACCAGGCAGTCTACATCGCCCCATACGACTCAAACCAACAATAAGAGATTATATGCACCGGTACCACGTTTTAATCTGGTCGACCTAACCCATATCCCTACTTGATCAAACTTTCCCTAGCATGGCACATCGAGGTAGGTGGTGGCTGGGCATGCGTAGTACATGTCCAATCCATTTCAGTCGACTAAGGTCAACAACCTCATCCATCGGCTTGCCTAGTACCTTTCACCTGACCTCAACAGTGTTCACACGCGGATCCCACCAAAATCGAGCAATGCCACGAAGACTCCTATGATCAATACCGTGTAATCGCTTAATGTCTCCTACTAGCCTGATGTAACAACTTCAGTGTTGTTGCTGAATCACAGCTGGATATAAGATGAAAAATCATTTAGCAGAAACGTGGACTACAGCACACTTCAATAGTGTGTGTTGATGCTTTATCGTGTGATCAAAATCTGTATCGTAATGCTTTTCTATGAATACCTGAAGGGTTTATAAGTCTTGGCGTAAGTTCAATGCACAGTCTTAAAAATAGATCAAATAGCTTAGTGACCATCTAGAATTATGCAAACAGTTTTGACAGAAATTTTTTGTTTCGTAGATGACAATTTCCACTGAAGCCTTGAACAAAAATCATTCAACCGATGAAGGGAAATCTCTAACACTTTGATTTGGTTTTTACGACAGAAAGTTTTCTAGGGTTTATTCACTGGAACTCAGCTGTTGGATGTTCAAATTAAAAATTATGATTTCCATGGTCATCTTACTACTTTACTCCTGGAATGGTGTGAACAAAAACGGAGGATAAGTTGGATTACACTATATTTTCTCTAAATTTGTATACACACGTATGTATTTGGAATAAAGCATTTTAGATCAAAAACTGAATTAGATGTTGTGGAATTGAAGGAAGTATTCATCAGCTTACACTAATAAAACGTGCTACAGTACCATAAAATGCCTATACAACCTTGAAAATTGTCGATTGTATCGGCGTATCTTTGAGAAAAACGAGATGTCTAGTCTACCAGCTGGAGCTATTTGTAGCAGTACTCTGAATGTTAATTTAAGAATATGGAATGGTAGTTGTTCATCACTTACCGCCATTCTTTATTCGCCTATCAGAAATTTGCAGTAAAGATCAATACAAATGTACAGTTATCTCAAAACGTTTCAGCCAATGAGGCAATGAACTGATTTGGATATACGGTATTCATATCGATCTTAGTGTGTTACCCTTATGTGCGATAAGCATTGGAGCAAGATGACTTAGGAAGGCAGTTAGGGTGGACAAATCGAGATGCAGACTAAAATCTATGATTGTGGGGGTGAACCATTTATGAAGGTGAGAGCCATCTAGTTGTGGTGCTTTGGATGTTATAGACCGATGGCGAGGGAACTTTGGTGACTTGACCTAGGATAAATAACGAAATTTGAAGATTTTGTTAACTCTTATTTGAGTAGACGGTTTTCTTACGCAAAAGCTCCTTTTTGTTAATCTCTTGTTAGGCTCAAATTTTAAATGTAAACTCCTTTAGCATAAATAATAGTGTCTGTATTTATAGTCAATCCTAATATTTAACTCATGTATCCGACTACAATTATTTTCTCTATCAATTTAATTTCACACACAAATAATTTAATTTGCTTTTATTTGATACCACTGTTAAAAAAACCTGCTTAGGCCGTTATATGTACATGTATCTTGTGGTTGAATTGTAATATGAGTAATATTGAAGTTAAGCACGGAGTACTAGGCAAGAAAGGCAATTCAATTCAATTGCGCTAGTTTGGACGTGTTGTATATACTGAGACACGGCTTATTTGGACGTAATGTTATTTGAAGTAGGATTAGGTTGAAAGGAAGCTAATGACCAAGAGGTCTCATCAGTTCATGAAGTCTTCGACTGTTGGTCTGAGTAGTGTAACGAGTTGTATGCTTTTTGGCTATGGTCCTCGAGACCATTTTAATCAGTGATTGAAGACTTTCAGTTAAATAACTTGAGATCGCTCACAATAGCATGGATACACATACTTTTTGTCATCTTCGAAGTTTCCGAAACTTAAACTAACCTTGACCTCTTTATTCTATCTTCTCATACACTTCCATCAACTTTGGTATCATTCTTTTACTACATATGCTGCTGTGAAGTGTGGAAAATTGAACCGGTGCCCTTTTGTGTCAGGTTCTATGTTGGTTGGTCTCTTTTTACAAATACATTGTTGATTTATCTGCGCACGTGACATAAACGTGGTATAACTTTCCACAACTTCATATCTAAAAGTAGCGCCTGATGAGAATATATCCATTGACCTTCTTGATTCTTATATCTTTGCTTATTCTAGTATCTTTCTGCTCCTGATAGTTCTATGTGCTATTTACAAGTGTGTGTTCATTTTCAAAAAGCAATACATTTGAACCAATATTTAGATTTTATTTCTTTACATGGTAACAGTGCGAAGATCTCTGTTAACTCGAGTATTTTAAAGAGAGCACACACTCTAATAATGGGTGAAAATGTAAAAGTTAAGGAATTAAAATATATGAACAAGATTGCTAAAATAAATAATAATCCAATGAAATCCATTCATAAAATAGAAAATAATGTAAGATTAGATCGTGGGAGTATCCCCTAAATCATTGACGTTAGCACCTCGAATGAAATTAGGACAGTGTCTAACATATGCAATATCAGAATGTTCTACAGAACATCTCACACATTGCAAAGCACCTAAGTTCATTTGAAGGATGAGATCCCTCTAGATTCACAATCTATTTGTGTTGGTAAGATGAAATACTTAGACTGCAACGCAGTATACATAGGACAAACTTTACGTAAAGTCGGAATTAGGAAAAAAACAGACACCGAAGGGCTCCCACTCAACCTTTTAGAAATTTAGTAGAGCTGAAAAAGCTTAAAACTCTTCAGCCATATCTCTACACGCTATAATTTCAGGTCAAAAGGTCGATTTCGATAATATCGAAATTATTCAGGAAGGCTTTAGAAATTATAAGGAACGTCTCATATGAGAATCTCTTCACATAACGGGGAATCAAAATTGTTGTTTATTGATACTGCTATAACTGGGTCAAATCACTAGAACTTTGTCGACAGAAGGGTTCCACGGCGGGAACGGGAAACTACAAGTATCAATAAACAACAACTGATATCCGTTGCACAAGTGATGGCTGTCATGTTTGAGTGGGCTAGTGGCAATTGAAACGATGGGTACTGAGTTCGAGTCCAGTGGGGACAAAATTACTTACTGGGGTGCAGGTACATCCATCTAAAAGGTCCCAAATAGGATGAGACGCGCGTCCTGGATTCCACTGTTAGTCATTGAATGGAGTACAATGGAATTAAAATTGTCCAAATAAGATTGATAGAATAAAGGGTAAAATGATCTAGTTTCAACTCACTTCTATGTACTGATGTAACTAACATACATGCGATACGAACTATCAGCACATGTATACATACGAATTTCATGCACTCACCACATCTAGTAAAATATGTATGTATTTCATCTTTGTTCAACAATTTGCTAACGAAAAGGAACACATATCAAGTTGTCATGCATAAGATTGGACATTGTAAACTCCGATTTACTATAAATTTGATTAATCTATTAGCAGTAAAAAGGGAACTTCAGTTAAAATACATTTATTTTGTTTTACATTCACTGGGAACTAAAAATGACAAAATAATGAATGTCACCTACCCAATGCGCAAATTTCTTCAGACCATAAAATCACAACTTGGTTTATAAAAAGTGAAACTGATGAGCGCGCTGACCACCTAAAGTATTTCGGTAGTCATTTCGTTTTTGGTGACTTGTTGAATGAAATTTAGGTAGGGATACGATAAGCTCGTTTGATATTTGCCAACCTACACCGTTTACGGCATCGGTGAGATATACGAATGCCGCTTACGAGTCAATCTACTGTGTAGTAGTTCACTGAGTCCTATTGAGGTTACACAACATGGTAGTTGAAAGTAGGAAGCATGAGATTAGATGTCTTTGGTTAGAAGTGTCTTCATATCATGACCTGTATGTGTTGCGAGCAGAAAAGGGTAGTGTAAAGGTTATGTACGGAATGACGATCAAGAAAAGTGAGTGAGCAGATTGGGTCATGAATCTGCGGCAAATGAAGTGACTGAGGCGCGTGCTGCGAATCCCCAGTCATCGTCTAGATTGACGTGAAACATTATTTTCAGCATGACGTGGTTGAAAGAAGGCTAGTGGTGTCTAGACCGAAAAGATGAACTAATCCATACACTTATTGACTGTTGGTTTGAACTGCCTTTACAATTGAAGGACAACCAGTAGGAGTCATTAAGATACGGTTGGAAACTCTCAACTCGAAATAAGCCACCATGAAGTAGATATATTCACCTTTTATTACCTTTAAAATTGTGAATATCTCGTTAGTCTTTGTCTGCTTATCCTCTCTTCCCTGTTTTTATTTTCACATTTTTTTAAGTGTATTAATTTTCTATTTTTGGTACCATTGCAGTGTGACTTGATCGGTTGTACTTCAGTGCTGGGTTTAACATCTCTTATTTGCTTGTCCACACTTCAGATCCATATATTCTCAAAGAAGACTTAGGCTTCGCTTTCACTTACTGACTTGGTCTAGTTACTGAAAATCCTATACGTTTTCATTTTTCTGGCAAAACTAACAGTATGAAAGAGATATGTCAAGACATGATATTTAGAAATTTCGTATATTTTTCATAGGACAGTATTTTAATGAATTTATCTTTTCAAACATCGTAAGTGTCTTGAGTCAGAAAAGCATTAGAGTAACAGATGAATATGGGTAAATGAATCATAAAGCTGTCAAAAAACACAACTGTACAAGAACTAAGTCTTATTTGTTTATTCAAGTTTCATCTGTATTTAACTGAAGTGACCGACTGGAGATCACTGACAGAATAATACGAGAACGCTACTAACTCAATGAGGTACTCTCATTGGATACGAAAATTCAAAGTTGTTTTGGAATCCTGTTCAATGCGTAACAGGATTCTGGTTCGAACATCAGCACCTTCAAACCATAAATTAAAATTAAAAATTTAAACTGATCAGATGTCATTTCGTTGGTTTTGAATCGTTTGCATTCACGACTGACTTTACCAGCATACGTCATATAAACTTTAGAAGATAATTTGGATAATTGAAAACATTGATATTGAATAATAAGTAAAAATGACTGCTTACCGAAAAGTTGAGATAGAATATTTATAGCTTCATCGAATGACAATTCACGAGGATTCTTCGGCAGAATAAAACTGATGTATCTATTGTATCCAATAGAACCAATTTTTCATAATAACAATAATAGCAATCGAACTTTAGCTGGATTACCAAACATAGAGCATTGGATATGGAAAAACATCTTCATATCGATTAAACTATGGATCAAACGAGATGAGGTTTTGGATCATAATGAAACTCACTGATAGAAATAGAAATTGTGATAATTTACTTGGTTATGGCTAGCAGAGGACTTTTCTGCTGGATATACCTGCACTCCAGTGAGTGTTATTCTCACTGAGACTTGAACCTCATGCCCATTGCGTCAAATGCCAAGGCGTTATCCACTAGGCTACTGGGTGTGTGATAGTTACCTCTTGTACGACGGGTATTACTTATTACTACTTATTGATATGCTTGTAATTCTCCGTTGTTTTACTGGATCAAATTGTTCGATCTCTGGATTCCTCTGCTAGCCACAACCAAGTAAACTACCATAATTAACATTTAGGCAATATTGAGGCATCTGCATAGGAGCCTATGTGTCAATAGAGGTCGAACATTTCGACACAGTAAAACAACGAAGAATTACAAGTATATCAATAAACAGTAATAGAAATTCTTCCATATTTATCTGCATGAGGTGCTGATGGCGACTGAATTGACAACTTTTGTGTTAGAGCTTCGATTAACTTCAGTTCAGATGCTTCTTTTTGAGCTTGTTGAAATTGTAAAATAGATTCGAGATCATTCAGTGAAATAGATGTGACTAAATCAAAAACCAACACACGCCGCCAACTGATGTGACTGAGTGGAAGAGACTGAGAAAATAATGAGATACGATGATGCTAATAATGTAATGAGATACTTGGACTGGATACAAAAAGTGACTGTTCTCCCTCAGACCTGATACTTTAATGAATCGGGGCAATAAGAAGATAAAAACCGCTTAATGACTGGAAGGAAGATAACTTGACTTGACAAAAAGCATATCAGTTATATACAGTTTTCTTTCAGAAAATGAAGCCACAAGACCACAAGCTGGATGTTTATTTCCATTGACCAGCTGAAGGAAAAAATTGTTCAGCAGGATTTTCCAGTCTACACAGTGACATAAAACCAAGGTTGAAATCCAAAACTTCTACCTTGGCAGCTGATGACCTTGAGTCCTGATTCTGATTTAGACTGCTTCCCATCAGTAATACTATCACATCATGAGAAATTAAAGTGTAATCCACGAATATCTTTAAGTGAATAATGATAAGCAAGCGTGAACATTTTTTGACAGCAGTGAACAATAACCAGGTAGGTTCTCCTCAATAAATGAAATTATGGCGAAACATAAATGATATTAGAAGACAAAAAATTCTCTCTTTGTCTCTCAGCCTACAAGTATACTCAATTAGAGCAACTTTGTTAACACTTGTACAATTCGAATCAGTTAGATAATCGACATTTTAAAGGCAGAACTCATATCAGATTGATGTTGACTGGACGGGATGATCATCTTTGAGAACTACCTAGTTATAAACAAATGGTTTATCCTAATAAGAAAGTTATCTATATTATGAACATCATCTATACGTTCTTATAAGAGAAATCCAGATATTACGATAAGTGCATTAATTAACAGTGAGTCATAATCCATAGTCAGCCGTTCTCAACTTCAAAAATGATCCCCAGACTCTCAGGTGAGAAGACTTAGCTTTTAAAAGAAATAAGACCCTTATGATGGCATTGAACAATGATGAGACTATATCAGAACTTATAAGAAATAATAGAATACCAACTGTTGAATCCCAACCCTTATGTGCAACTGAATTATGTTCACCCCAAGCTTTTGGATATGATTTTGAGAGTTGAAAAAGTTGTGCGCTGTTGAATAACCCTAAGCTCTCATCCTTGAAATGATGAGAATTACCCTTAGAAGTCATTTATTTATATATTTGCTTATTGTTCTATTATTTTATAGGAAAAGAAAGGTCTTGATCAACCGAAGGGACCAGAAGTTGAAATTAAGAAATTGGACAAAATTTTAATGCTAGTTGGTTGAAGTATCTTCGTGAGCAAGAGAAGATAGAATGTTCTGAAGAATGAATATTTCTCATAAAATGTGTATTACTCAGCGTTGATTTAATAAATTAAAGTAAAAATCTATGCTGCTTCTCAGTTTGTTGTTCTTGAAGTCTTCAGTTATCTCCAATACAAAACATATCAGTTGGTCTTGTGGAGTCACAGTCACAGTGATATGAACACAATATTATAATGACTGGTTTACATTAGAAAAACTAATCAGGCCGTAATGTAGAATGCACCAGTTTACAATTCCCTGATCAATAATCCTCAGTGAGCATTTGAAACTGATTAAAAATAATGTCAACCACCATAGACCTGAAGTCCTAAGGAATAATTACTGTGCAACAAATAACTTCGAAAAGAATATAATATCAAGTGCACACGAATTCGTATCAGCTATATATATCTACCTACTAGTCACAAAAGCGATGTCAACGCATCACTTTGGTCGTATCTACTGACCAAAATGGTCAGATATAATGTGAAATGCCTGAAATTTTTCATGAAAATCAGATAAAAACTAAGGATTGAGGTCGACTGATCTTTCAGTAAGCAAATTCTCCAAACTCACAGTAAATACAACACAGTCCCATAGTACGTCATTTCATAAGTGCCCAATTTGTATACATGTATACTTACTGAATGGAAATTATATCAGTTAATAATAACATATTACAAAACAATATAATCTATTCATCATTCTTATATATTATAGGTGTTCTGTTGGATTCTCGTGTGCACTTATCAGACGTTTTTATGAAACTAAGCTGAAGTTGATCATCTACGTAAAACATCGTTTAGAAGTCAGTAGCTGGCTGCTGAGTTAGACAGTATAAACAATTCCCTTGGGTTAGCATATGCATAAAAGTGAATGTGAATCGATATCTCCCGCTTTAATAAACTGGACTTTAAAGTGTTTATCGTTCCTATATGCCGAATTTCTATTGCTGGCTACATGGTTGTTGGGAGCCAAGATTATCGTGAAGCAAACTGGAAAATGCTAGATGGTGAGAAGCAGTCAGTGACACATCATCTTATCTACAACACATAAGTTGCTGTTCTCGCAATTCAAATTATGTACGGGGGTACCGGCCTCTTCTGCTTTCCAATATACAATTTGTTATTGACTTCTGATGTGCATGAAATCTACCTTTTGCAGGATCGTGGCAACTAACTAAAACCAAGTTGTAGGTTTTAGTAGTTACTCCATAATCTAGGTCATCACTGGGAATAAGAAAACGGATGACAGAAAGTGAATAGTGCGCTACAACAACTAAACTGATTTCAGCTAAATTTTTCGACACTTTAAAAAGTGATATTGTATTAATGAAAGCTTTTGTGTCTGCATGTTGAATGTACTGCTCCACACATTATGCTTTACTGTCTAGCAAATCACAGTTCTCTGAAGTAGACATAAACTAGATTATTTGAGACATGTGATGTACATTCCAAACAAAATTTCGAAACAATTTGTACTCAAGTTGAACTTACCATGGTAGTATTGATTTTAATTTTCATACCAGTGAGTAACGTGATTAGGATTTTGTTTTTTCTCTGCCCTTCCTATTCCTATGTTTCCCATTAACTCCATTGACCATTTTCGTAAGTTTTCAAATAAACAGATCAACAAGTCCATGTGTGATCAACCTTGCCTGGTTTACTAACAGGTCCTAAGCCCAGATAAAGACGGAAGGTTAGGCATACGGATAGCAACCCTATCCCGTAAAACCAATCCGATCGCTAAAGAAACTTCAAAGAACAGAAAAAATATGAATAAACTTATTCCTCGCTAGAATCGGGGAGACGAAATGATGCCGGTTGGTGAAAACCTTCAGGAAGCCAGTGGGCCGATATGTCTTCTCTCTCTCGATGAAAACGAAAGTAAGGATGGAGACATAGAATGTCCGCACCATGTATGAACCTAGCAAGGCTGCCCAGATTGCCAAAAAGATGAGAAGGTATGGCGTAGAAGTGCTTGGAATCTGCGAAAGCAAATGCAATGGAAGTGGACTATCTAAACTCAACTGGAGAGTCAGTAATCTACTCCAGTCACCTTGACGACAACCATGACCACACGGAGGAAGTGGCTATTGTGATGTCTCCAGGATCATCGAAGGCTCACTCTCATGCAGTGGGAATCAGTCTCCTGCAGCGTCATGACAGCAAGATCCAACTCAAAAGGAAGGAAAGTCACAATCATACAACGCTACACCACGCACCTACAAATAATGCAGATCAAGAGAAGAAGGAGGAATTCTACAGACAACTGCAATAAGAAATGGACAAGACCACAATCATGATAGCGATATCAGAATTCTAATGGGCGGGGTGATATGAATCCCAAACTAGAAGAAAACACAGGAAGAAAAACAATCATAGGTAGGGAGACACTGGTGAAATGAATGAGAATGGAGAACTTTTTGCAGATTTCTGCGTCTTTAATAATTTGTTGATTGGAGGCAGTGTGTCTAAACACGCACAAGGATATTCACAAGGCAGCGACATGGATTTGGTTTCACCAGATGGACACACTATAATAAAAATCAGATCAACTTCATCTCAATATGAAGAAAGTGGAGACGCAGCCTACTAGACACAAGATCAAGAAGAGGAACAGATGTAGGTTCATACCACTATCTAGTGCAACGAACCTGCTTTCAAAATCAAGTTGAAAGCCTTCAAAGATTTGGTGATAGACCATAGTTCAAGTTCAACACCCAGGACAGAAACTGAACTGAAGGACGAAACCACAAAGGACATCTTCACGTCAGTCATCAAGAAAAAATGGGAGACACTAAGCAGCATCCCTTGCGTGGAAAAACACTGGAACTCTTTGAAAGCAATGTGCAAGGAAACCTGCATAACCGCATTAGGAAGGAAGAAGAAAAAGGAATGGATCTCCACAGACATATGGGAGCTGATACAGGAGCAAGGAAGATCATGAACTAGGAGATGAACGAGTGCAGCCAAGGATGAACAACGAAAAGAGGAACTGAACACAACCTATAAAACACTGGACAAAGAAGTGACGAAGAGTGCGCGCAAACACAAAAGACACCTCTACGGTATTGGCAAGTGAAGCAGAACAGGCTGCTGGTAGGAGAGACCTAACAACATTATATCGAATAACCAGGCCACTATCTAGGAAGAGATCAACTCAGATTAAACCAATAAGAGATAGTGAAGGGGAGGAGAAACAAAGGAAACGATGGGCTGACCGTTTCAGAAATGAGCAGTCAAGTTACAGAATAATAAACCATCTATGATTTCGAGGGGCTCCAGGAAGAACAAATCATGTGAAGATCAAATTGCAGTGCTACACTATCCATCATCATAGAACACAGTATAGAATGCCAGTCAAATATCTACCTCAACTCCATCTCCCTCGAAAAGGCCTTCTGTAGTGTCGACCGAGAAATACATTGGCTACTGCTTCAACACTACGGTTTTAGTGCCACAAATCTTTATCAACCTCATTCAACAGCACCTATATGCTACGTGGTACTACATGCCAAGTGATTCATAATGCAAAGTTCAGTGATGCGTTTGAAGTGAAGAAAGCAGATAGGAGTAAGACAAGGTTGCCTACTGTCACCCATGATCTTCCTGATTGTGGTCGACTCGACTGGATCATGCAACAAACTGTGGGGAATGAGAAGATGGGCATATGCTGTTTGACCTACGAAAAGACTCTAGACAATTCGGATTTCGCCACCGATGATGATTTATGTCTAATGTCTTGGTGCAAAATCTCGAAGATCTACAGGCGAAAACCAACAAGTTGACAGAAGAGGCGAGGTAGCGAAGACGGGACTTCAGGTGAGCGTAGAGAAGACAGAGGTGATGAAGATATCCAACCAACAACAACGACAACAACAATGAGGAGGAGGAGGAGGAGCACCACTCACCATCAATGGGATAAATCGGGAGGAAGTTGCCTCTCCCACCTGTCTAGGCAAGGCAGCATCGTTCCAACTGCAGGTGGTGGCGCAGATCAGGACGTTAAAGCCAGGATCGGAAAAGTAAGACAGGCCTTCATCAACGTGAAATCAGTGTGGAGATCTACTGCACTGCACTCAGCATAAGGAACAATATCCGGATTTTCAACACTAATTCATTCAAGTCAGTGCTTTGATATGGTTCAGAGACTTGGCGCGCTACGCAAAGCATTTCTAACAGACTACAGAGATGCATCAACAGCTTCCACCTACGCCCACTCAATACTGAAGATGAGATCAGATGGTCAGAAAGAATAAGCAACAAGGAACTCTGGCTGGCAACGAAGCAAAAACCCATCGTCCAACTAATATGCAGAAGGAGAAAGTGAAGATAGATTGGGCATACACTGAGACCATTTGGGGACATCACGCACTAGGCCAGTCCCTCGAGTGGAACCCAAATGGGAAACGAAGATTCGGGCATCTGAGGGTGACATGGATATCATGTGAGGAAGAAATGAAAGCTTCTGGGCATTCGTGGAGAAAAGTTCATAAGACTGCCAAGAACAGAGTTGAATGGAGACTTCCTGCTGAAGTCCTATGTTCCACTAGGAACCCAAAGGACAAATAATAATAACAATAATAATATGTGATCAGATTATTCGAAATGTATAGCATCAATACATATGTTTCAGCCAAGCTTCCTCTTTTCATTACACTGTTTAAATTAATCAAAGGGACCTGTTGCTTTAAGTAAACTAGAAGGATTCTGGAGGTAATGTGGATCAAATGTATTGAAATTCACATTTATCATTTTCTTTTCAGTAGCTTCTTCCTGAGGTCCTACAGTCACATGTCCATATCGTAGAATCAGAGAATAATTTTGCGTTAACACCAATGAGATTTCCTGTAACAGTCCGCTGGTAATATTCTATAGTCTGGGGATTCTCTTCATAAAGGACTTATGTGAAAGGTAATGTTCGAATAAAATATTACTGGAATCCAGTTAAAAATAGTAAATTATATAGATTGTTATGTTTTATGTGACACTAGAAGGTGAAAATGAATCACATTTATTTCGATTAAGAAATTCATATGAGTAAAGCCTACAATGGGAGCTGTAGCTCAGGGAGATGACTACCAGCTATTGGGTCACGTATTCGGGTCCCACTCCACCTACCGAGGTTTGAGTACTCATACAATAGATGTAGCTCATTGTCTGCTGTACGAATGCGCACAAAGTAGCTGAGTGCGTTCAACTAAAAGCCTACAATCAGTGAAGGAGAAATTAAATGTAATATATAGGCTAAATCGTACAAATATATGGGGATTTCATAAAACTTTCAAAGATTACTAGTAAGGGATGAGGGGATTTGTGCCATGTGTTAGTGCGTATGAAAGTAGGATCCGATAAACAAAAAGAGTTTGAGGAATACTAGTTCAGTAAAATTGTAGTTAGAATGAACAATTTGCAAATGATTTACAAATTGTACAGTCCATATTGACATTTGCGGCTGAATAGTTTTTCAACTGTCCAACTTCGGTACCAACAGGGTTTCCGTTGAGAACCAGCCAAGGCCACAAGGCGTGTTCTCTAACACAAAAGTGTCATGAACTATCAAAATATACTATTGAATAGCATGAGTAGTCAGACCAAGGTGATCACTTGGATTTGGCTAGCGAAATCTACAGATCGGTGTTGGTGGTTTCTAATTATTCATGTCGTTCAATGGTATATTTTAAAATGGTACACATATAAGGGAACGAAATGTAATAAAATTATTTCAGATCATAAAGATATGTACAATGTGGAAGTTGAGAATTAGGTTACATGGGATAGAATGCTTAGGAATTTGTTAATCCCGAATAAGGTTAGAGTAGATGCAATGACAACATGTTTCTTGTCTGAGCATATATCTGTTTGTTGCAACATATCTTTTACTGTGTTTGCAGCTTGGAGGACTCGCAGCCTAGCACCCTGAGGCAAGTTGATGACAACCCGATTAATAACGGGAAATGACTTATTCACATTCACCGTATGGTTTGTTTGAATTAAGCGTGCTAATATAGAACTGTTAATAGTTTTTGCTACATCTTTGTTAAGTCATGTTGCGAGGTGTTCGCAAACACGAGAAATAAATTCCTAGAGCAACGGCCAACGCAACTGGTTCCATAGGAGCAGTCGGACTGATAAACAGGAAGTGACCAATGCACACGACTCATCTTTGAGTCTCGATGTTACCACTAGGCGTGTGGCAAACATTACTTGTAGTCTCCCAGTACTGAGAGTTGTTTGAATTGATCCGTTTAGTTTATGAATTAATGTCTAACTGGCCACATCACCTCTAAATTGTCCCAACATGTATAACCTTCTTCTGTTATAAGGTTGGTCTTAACTGTACTATAGGTTTGCGTCTTAGCCAAGCCGTAAAACCACGGTGAATTCCTGTAGGTTTTAGCGCATCACACACGCTTGGTGAAACTATCTGCTGCTCATTCAATCTACTCGGAAATCTGATTACAATTCCTTATCGACTTTATTATTCAAGTCTTTCCAAACACTCAATTTATCAATAATCTTTCTTATGAGGTCGCATTTATCAAGGAGAACTTCTTCTGTTCTTTTATCATCTTTTGTAATTAACAACTTTTCTCCACTTACATTCTTTTTAATAGCCCCTCTGTTTTTTGTTTAAAGTACTTTTACAGTTACATTTGCTGCTCATGTATTGATAACAACAATTAACCAACGAATTGTTATGAGGTATTACATCTATGTTAACGCAAAACTATTCGCTGACTAAACCATATGGTTGGATATGTAACTGTCGAACCTGAGGAAGGAGTTATTAAAACGAATATTCTCAGTTCAATGAAATATCTTTGGAACTATAATTGGAATTCTTAGCGTTAACATATTCGAAAAAAGTATTGACTGGTCTATGTGGTGAAATTCGAACACACACATACACACCACATGATAAAACACCCGAATCCATCATACAAAAAGTAAGTAATGGGGCACACGTTCAACTTAGCCTTTTCAAGTTAAACAATGCGTATCTTTGCAGTTCCTACAATGAAACTAGCACTTGGTTAGAGCTACTGAATACTTTTTTTACTCGATAGCATCATTTTATAGCAATGGTTCTAGTCACTCAGATTAACAAATTTTGAAATGATGAATACAGTGAAGTGTAGCTTATAATTATAGTTTTATTTGACTAGATTTTATTCACTTCAATTGTTGTTAATGATGAATAAATGATTCAGTCAAGTGAAACAAAAGAAAAAAACACAAATAACACAGAATAAATACTTAAGTGTATCTTTCACAGATAGCGCTGATATGGAAATGTGTACAAGATGATTTCAATTACATGTCATACCATGAACAAATTTCATCTTACAACAGAAAAGAGTAAGAAAATCTGTTTTATGTCATAAGTAAATGAAGGAAAATACTAAACAGGTAAGAATATCACTGTAGCACAAATAATAAATTACAGAGTCAGAGAAAAATCACCAGGAGAAAAAGCGTCTTTTCTTTTACAGAAGACTAGACAGAAAACCAAGAAGCTGTACACAAATACGTATAATTGGGAATGAAATTATTCACACTCATAGGGCGTTCGAAATTAATTGGTTCAAAGATGGAGTTAAATAGAAGCAAACATCAAATGAGACACCAATTCAAAGGGAGCACTGAAAAATACTGTTTAACAATTTTGAAAAAGACTTTTCAGTATGCCACGCAATCTCTCTTAACTGGTGTGTTAATCTGCTGCTGGAAACTATCTTTGGTGGGCAAGAGGAACAAATGATTTAAAATAACAAAATCTTTACAATATTTAAAAATTGTGATGTGAGTTTCCCTTATTGTACACAAAAATTTTTGAAGGTTAAATAAAAGCAAACAAATCAGTGAGCATAGTCTATTCATCACAACGAAATAACGATATTGCTCTCATCTTTAAGTTCGTCAGGTAGTTGAACATTTGAGAGCAATATCGTTATTTCGTTGTGATGAATAGACTATGCTCACTGATTTGTTTGCTTTTATTTAACCTTCAAAAATTTTTGTGTACAATAAGGGAAACTCACATCACAATTTTTAAATATTGTAAAGATTTTGTTATTTTAAATCATTTGTTCCTCTTGCCCACCAAAGATAGTTTCCAGCAGCAGATTAACACACCAGTTAAGAGAGATTGCGTGGCATACTGAAAAGTCTTTTTCAAAATTGTTAAACAGTATTTTTCAGTGCTCCCTTTGAATTGGTGTCTCATTTGATGTTTGCTTCTATTTAACTCCATCTTTGAACCAATTAATTTCGAACGCCCTATGAGTGTGAATAATTTCATTCCCAATTATACGTATTTGTGTACAGCTTCTTGGTTTTCTCTGATTCTTTAATTTATATATATACCTGTCTTGCCAATAACATGTGGGTACAAAAAGACAAATGAGCAATTGTGCATAACAAAAGTATGACTGAGTAGGAGACATTTACGAAGGCACATAAAAGAATGACATTAGATGACGGGGACAGGTGCTTTAAAACTCCTTAATAACAGTGAAAGTGTACAGTGGAATAAATAATTGGATGACTTCCTATCCCATCGTTCATCTAATTCGTTTACACTTAAGACGTTGATGAGTTTTTTCAATGTAATTCGGTAGTACCATTGTAGACACAAAGTCAGCTGACAAATAATCATGACAAGCGAATTTCCATGTCCATAATTTTGCTAATTCTTCAAATTGGTATTTATCCGAATCATACAAGGCACCAATTACTGGCTCCATGCAAACACGTGTATGTGGATCAGTTAAAAGAGCCAAAATACTAATTAGAAGTTTCTCTAAACTTAGTGCTAAACACCAGTTATGCCTGATTGAATCTAATCCAACATCTCCATGGAAGCTGATATTAGGATGCAATATACGTGTAAGAAAGCGTATAACAGGTGGTCGGAAAGGATAACTATCTGGAACAAGAATAAGTACATGAAAAAATCCACCTTGATACGGGGATTGAGGTGGACCTTCAATGCCAGCCAAGAAGTGGGAGTATGTTTCTGTGTCTAGGGTGACAATTTTTATACCGTAAGGTGGATCAGCACATAAATTTTCAAACTCATGTTTAATGCGTTTATACCGCACTTTTGGAGCTTCCATTGGGAATAAAACAGGTAGGCGTAAACGTTCCAAACAAAATCGACAAGTAACACTTTCCATCATATTGAGATAAAGCAGTCTCCAACTTTCGATTCTGCAGTTAGGGCTGAAGAGTGGCCATCGAAATAATACATACGATTCCCACTGTTGCTCGGATATTTCGCTGTCGATTACTGCACGACATCGAGATGAAGCCTGGCGTAGCGACCACAGACATATATCATCTAACATAACAAATATACGAAGCAAAATCTCAGTTGGAAGATCATCAAGACTGGGAGACATACATGAACCATACGATTTGATTTTTCTATTACAAACGGGGGATACATGGTCGGTAACAGGGTAGTTGGAATAGGATGCAATAACGTGAGGCTGTTGTAGAGGGCATGTAGCTAAAAAAATTCGGCCACATGACTGTCGATTTTTGACACGCAAATGATCATGCGAAGTGACTTCTAGATTACAAGAACTCCAACCAGCTGAAAATAAATCTGATCCTTTATCTGGCTCCTCATTCCCACTATCATTGGATGCCTCTTTTTCTTCAAATAATCGGTTCTCAGTCATTTGAGGTAAACTAAACTCATAAATGAAAGCATGACAAGATGAACAAACTGGTTGTTCACTACCAAAGTCATAATAGCCTTCACAAAATTTACAGATCACACTCTGAAAAGAAGAAAGAAAATAGAGGTATTTAAGCAAATGCAAATAAAGCAACTATCACTAATGTAGAAAACCTCGCGTATCCGTCAAAAATGTGGCCATACGAAACATAAAATCATTGTTTTGCTCAGTTGCACCAAAAAAGTTTAAAAATGCTTGATAATGATAGGGACTTCTGAAATACACTTATCAGTAAGATATGTGCTCATACGCAGTTTAGGAGTGATAATCGAGAATGTTCCTCATTACACTGAAATGGTAGTCAAATGTTGCATACAACGAAAAGTGGACAAAAGGATGCAGCTAAACAGTATTGTGAAGTTCACGGTCACGTTATCGACTGTGTACTTCTTACAAAACCATATAATCCAAGATTCCACTTTGATACAGTACAACTATTCATTTCATAGTAACAGACAAGACAAAATCAACATGAAACTTAGTTCAAGTTGCCATACTTCATACCATCATATGAAGAAAAAGTGGGTAGGTAAAAAGTGATATTAAAGTAGACAAAGGTGTATGGGGAGAAAAATGATTCAAAAATAAAGGTAACTGAAGATGTTCGAAATTCAGAAGACGCCAAACAGTGAACATATCTGGGTCACTGTAACTGTTATTTCTCGCAGACATATTTATGGATAGTCGGGAACGGATCGCTCTTTAAACCCACCCATTGGTTTTTAAATACAGCGCTTTCAACAAAGTGATTTACTTGCTCGGCACCCGTTTTAGTGAGGAATAAGACCTTTTTGTTGGTGGAGTCGAATCCCGCCTTCATGTAGAGAAGTCCAGCTAGTATCGAACGACGGTGTGATCATATTTCAAGGTTGGAATGATTGTGAAGGTCTGGTGTAAATACCTAACTGTAAATGGCGCCCGGCTTTTTCTGCATGAGTGACATTGTCCAGTTACGACGACTGTCTAGTCAGTTCCTCGCTGAAAGCAGCCTTAATATTCTAAACACCAAGTTGCGCTAGCAATGGTTTGGTGCTGTGACTTTCACATATTTACTTAGGTGCACACACGTGTTCTAGCCAACACGCGGTTGCTGTGTAAACATGTGCTTCAGAAGGAATGGTAATCTTGCACTATTTCTCTAGTGATACCTGACACCAATATGGTTTACCTGTGTCTGCTATTGGGTTGGAGTAAGCGGACACCACACCAGACAATGTCTGTCTTTGTGTGAATTTGGTGCTGGACTAAATAGATGGTTGTCTGAGTATAGTCTTAGCAGGAGAACACTACCATACATTCCTTCGGCTGCGATTCTAAAAATGCTATCTGAGTGCCTTGCTGTTTGGCTAACCTTCCCACGTTTGCATTGAAGTTACCGTTTAAGAAAGTCGTAAATGTATTTCTGACTTCTGGTAGGAGGCTACACAGTTTTCAATAGAAATTAACCTTCACTTAATTCAAACTACAGTCAAAGGGTGCGTAATCAGAGATTGCAAAGAGAAAAAGGTTAGATTCGCTACTCTTTTTGGTGCTCACTGTACTATTCAGTCGAATAGGAGATCCAGTGGGGTAGTGGAATTTCTACCTTAGAAATAAACGCTATATCTACACCTGAAAGGTTCCAGGAACGAGCCATCGAATCTTCAGCAACTCGAAGAGTGAATTCCACAGACTTGCCATAGTGGCGGCGTAAGTGAATAGTCGCACTTTAGTCCTCTATGTATATCTCACAAACAGCATACGTCCATGACTCCAGATGACAGCTTTGTATAGTGAAGCATGTACCATTTGATGAAGAGTGTGGATATTTAAGGCTTTGTTTTGCAGTTTCAGGAGACCAAGAATTCAATCCCATGAACTCCAACAGTTATCATGAGCTGTAGAGCTAGAAATTAAAGATGGTGTAGGGATGTTGGCTGAGAAATGTGAAGAAAGATTACAAGATGAAGATGTGCAATGTTAATGATGATCTGAGGAAACTTAAATGCTGAGAGAGTTGTGAAGGCGGTTGACTTCCCGGCTGTTCATACCATGAGGATTACCTATTGAAAGGTCTGAAAGAGAAATTTGACCAACAATAGTGGCGCATAAATGCAGAGTCCAGGATAAATATGTTTGAATCTGGACACAGCCGCTTCAGAAGTTGGACTGAACTTTGATTGATTTAAATTCAGGTAGAAAACTCATTCTTTCAGCGCTGAAACACCAAAGGGTAGACTAAAGTGTTCTGCTTTTGGGGCCAACTTTTAACTTCTTTTCATAAAGAAGGCGGCATCAGCGGGTACTGTTGGTCATCCACAGGAAATAGCATATGGTTGCTATACTCTTGTCTAACCTGCATTATAACTTTACCTTCAGTTCCCTGTGATGTCATTGCAATTTACGCTATAGCAGTAAATACTTTTTATCTTGCCAATATCCAATAGACCTTTCTGGTATGGTAGGACCTTAAGGAAACAAGTGTACCCATCAGCATGGCTTGTTAGACCACGGTGATATGCAAACCCACTATGTCAAGGTGGCAGATTTTGAAATCCCTGCTGAACAAACGGCTGATCGTGACCACCCACTACAATTGTGCTCAGAAAACTACTTTTCATGGTCAGTATGAACTTGAAATATAAGGAGAAACGGTGTCTGATTTGGCGTCTGCTGACCTTAGCTCAATGGTGAACAAAGATAGGCTAAATTGCAGTGACTTATTGTTGCACTTTAGTTAACACAACCAAAAAGCTTAGTGAAGAAGTCCAAAAATTACAAGGTGTAAAAGAGTAAATACGTCTGCACCACTGTGATTGATTTTAAACCATGTCACTAAGCATGTCCAACCACTGATTTCAATTATCTCGATGACCACAGTCAGAGGGTCAATACCTCTTAACACGACTAGAACCAACAGTCAGAGACTTCATGGACTGGTGACATATCTTGTTCTGAGGTCCCTTATCCTTCTTCAAACGCAATCCTACTCCGGCTAACATTGCACGTCAAAATGGAAGGTTGTTTGATATGCACAACGTGTGTCCAAGCCTACTTCCTCGGTAAAGGGATTTTGTACGGAAAGATAGAGTATATCAAAACAACTTGACAAACGATTCACCATTTCCTCATCAACTACTGTGTAACCGAAGAGTTCAACAAAGTATGCTTTGGCTCAAGGTTAGACTAGACATTTGAAGGCAGTGGTACTATCACAACTCAGTGTTTTAAGGCTAAAAACACTCTGAAGACCACGATAACGGTGCAAGTTGTATCTTTTTATCATAGGCATATAAAATTCACATTAAGAAAAACACTTGGACAGTCTGCAACTCCTGACCTCTTTTTGTGAAGATCTAGTAATCAAGCATGAAGATATACGACCGTTAGGGAGATGTGGGACAGGTCACACTCTCATTAGCACCAGTAGATGGGTGATCATTATGGCAAGCAAGTGAGAGTTTACAGAGAAGGATTAAAGATAAGAACACCGAGACCAGAAGATAAAGAAAACACTGAGAGAGAATATAGATCAGGAAAAAGATACAAGAAGTGGGTGATTAAGACGGTTACAGACGGTGGATAGAGGAGGAGCACCCATGAATTTGTTGGGTAGGAAAGGCACTGCTCCTTAAAGAATCCAGATAAAGTAGAAACAGCCACTTCCCCCATTAAACATTTGAAGACGGCGTAATTCAAGAATGAGAACTTTAACAATTGTGGACGTGATAGTAAGGAATTCAAATAACTATATGAAGTCCAATGATGGATTAAACATATATAGTCAACAAATCTCAAACGACTAGTATTTATGCTCAGAATAGGATTGATTAGAATGTCATTTGTATGATTGTAGTAATGGGGGTAGTAGGCTAAGCAGTTACTGGTAATCTTTTAAAGTTTGCTAAAGGATGTATAACAAGTTTCGGTGACTACTTCCGTTCATTCACCGTCTGATGAAAAAAGCAACATTTTATTGAATCATTCAGACAGGTTTCTGCATTATCAAACAGTGTAGAAGTAATATTACGGGAGAAGCGAAGCAGGGCATCAAGAAGGGTTATACTTCTCTTGTTTGCCAGACTTTACACACAATAAAAGCAGTAGCATGATGGCTGTACACGACTATAAGGAGGAGGTGGGTAGAAGAAACTGGAACAAGTAAATCTGAGGCCAAGGGAAGTGAGAAGGAACAATCACACTTTGGGGGGTTTCAAATCAGTTACTGCAATTATCCAGCATCAGAAATATCATACAGAAGGTTTTTAATTACATTCTGAGTGAGTCCTTCAGCATCAGTAAGCGGTATGCTGTGTTTTTGAGAAAGCTACAGCTGAGTAGACCACTTTCACAACAAAATAACTAAGCGGTAGAACACATTCGATACCATAGGCAGATAATTATAAACTGATCTTTTCTAATCTACATTACAACATGGAGTTATGTATGTTTCAGGACATACCCATCCTAGAACGGGTACAGAGAAGAGCTACAAAGAAAGTGATTGGGTTACGGCACAAACCGTACCCAGACCGCTTAGTTGCTCTTCAGCTGCACTCAGTACAACACCGGAGGATCAGAGGGGATATGATCATGATGTACCACATCGCCCATAATCCCCTCCATCCCAACAGATCCCTTTTAACCTTCAGTTGGAAACGCGACTTGAGGGGTCACTCGTTAAGAATAAAGCATGAGAGAGCACGTACAAAGATCCGTGCTAACTCATTTGCAGTTAGAGTCTGTAAACTGTGGAATTCCCTCCCTTCAGCAGTTGTTACAGCTCCATCCCCTGATACCTTTAAAAGGAGGCTAGACGCACACCTCGAGTCCTGCGGTACCGATGGGCTATACTCGAGAAGCTATCCCCAGATCAGATCAGATTAATTAATGAATCGTATCTCTATCCTTTCAGGTTTTTCAGAACCGGGAAGACAATTGTGACCATTCCAAACTCAGAACATATTCCAATAAGACAGACGTAGAATCCAAGGAACCGCAGTTCGCTAATTCTACAACACGAAGTTTGTAGTTTGAAGATGGCCTTGATGCTTACAGTTCGGGTCGCGTCGTTAAAATATTATAAAAAACCGCAGAGTTTAGGTGGAAGCATAAACATCTACATATAGTGAGTCACTAACCTCGTTTGACTTGCAGTTTGTCATAGTTCAAGCATGAAAATCCTTAAACTGCAACACATAATCCGCTCAGTTCCAAAAAGCCGCGTTGCAACAGCCTCATAAGGTTACAAATTTTAATGGTTTAAAAAGCACTTCAAATAAAAAAATTCTTATTTCTAACTTCATGTATTAGATGATGATTCCATGTATTTTTTGTTTGTCTCCAACATCCAACATTGATAGTGTGAACATGGAAAGCTGATAGTTTTGACCTTTCAACTCTACTTATCATGGCCTGGTTCGAGTTGTTCGGTTTGCTCCGGCAGTGGACAGGGCAATATCTTCTGCTCTGTTGCCTTTAGCTTCGGTGAGGTGGATGTTTTGTGAGTTAGTAAATTTCAATTTGCAGAATGATTGAGGAGCCAAATAGATCCCAGCAACCCGTATACGGAGGATAACAAGGTAGTAAGAAAAAGTATGTGGGAACCACCCGAAAGGTAAAAGAAGACACCATGGGTCTAGTTGTTAGAGAAAACTTAGTGGGTAATGTAGGTGCATCAAGATGACAGGCAGTAAGTTGTAAACAGAAGGGAAGTGATGGTGAGTTGGTCAGGTTAGTAACCTACTGAGTACGTGCGTGGCAAATCGTGAGAAACGAGATGACAATCCAGCCACCTTCTGAATCAGTTTACCGAGGGGGCTGTGATCACTTCCTGTGGCAGGGCATTCTGTAAGCACATACTTTCAAGGAGAAAAGGTTTGGCCTGAACGTGGCGTTAGTTCTTTGATGTGTCACCCGAGTGAAGTTTCCTCGTGATAACTGCTGTGTTGCAAGCGAGGCTAATTCGTTTGCTTGACTTGCCCGATGTGTAAACTTGTACACCACCCCTCTTTCAGTACTAACTTAAGGTGAATAGATTCAGGTGTTTTTGTCCTTCAGGGCCAACCTTCTCCCTTAGCCTCACAACTGTTTTCTCTGTAGATCTTTGTATTTCTTCAAGGAGATTAAATTTCTTCTTGAGTGTTGGTCACTGTCGTGTTGAATCGGTGCAAATTTGGTGTTAGTACTGAGTCGAGCTCGGAAGTGTGAGCTCAGAAGCTCAGCTACCCCTAAAAAGGCTTAGTACGCCAGCATCAGGACCTGTGATAGGATTCACTCCCGTGCTGGTCGGCTTCCTTCTCGAAATGAGGAGGTGCATGTTTTGGGAGTTACCCTATAACCTCTCCGCCAGGTCTTTTTGATAGATGAGCCTATCTCTACGTACTCTTGTGCTGCAGCGGTTGCGAATTCTCTTGAAGTTCAAGAAGTCAGACTGTCTGCGAGTTGAACTCCGGCTGAACCAAGCCTGCTTCTTTATCTCTGTCCCGCTCTTCAGCAATAAAGTTCTCACTGATGGTCCGTGTTACCTCTGGCAGACTGTGACTGATGGCCCCAACGATCATTCCGTTCACTTGGATCCAGCATTCCTCTGTTGTGAGAGGAGTCCAGTCTACAAACCATGATGCATTCATGAGGTTCTCGTAGCTGGCCTTGCTGTAGCAGGGGAAGGTGTTGAGCATCTCCGGTTGCAGAGCCCTCCCAGTAATCATGAAGAAAGTTAGTGCTGCGCGATCAAGGACTAAGAGGGGGCTCAACATGTGTCTTAAGCGAGATCATAGTTCACCAGATTGTAGTCAAGGCGTGATGCATTTCCGTCAGGTCCCCAGCGTGTGGCATCACTCACTTACCCCGAAGGGTCAGCGGTCTTAAGTTCATTCTTCGGCTCCTGACTGAGGGATCCGGCGTGTCCTCCTTCCATCTCGAGAATGGATGAAGTGTTGAAGTCATGGGCAGTGATTATGGGGCCGTAATCTGCAGAACAGGTCACCAAGTTCTCTCTGATGACCCTCTCCCTGTGTGTAGAGGGGATGGTGATGGACCGATATATGACCCCGAGGGGGTACTTGGTGCGACGAAGGGCAAAGCGGTACCATAAATATTTCGGGGCCGGATTAGAGCCGTATCGCTGACCGGTCTTGCTTGCAAATGAGAGCTTAGGTAGAGAGCTACTTCACCTGCTCTGGACTCTTTGTCCCCGCGGAATAGTGCTGCGACAGTGACATGAGCTTCCTCGTCGACGCTTGGTGAAAGCCAGAATTCGATGACAAATATGATGTCATATATAGGCGTTCGAGAAGCGTCATCATTTTCGCTACTTTCCCTCTTAGTCCCTCGATGTCGTGGTACATCCGTGTTGGGGCGTGCCTGATGAGAGGAAAGGGCCGATTGTTCATTTCGTAGGAGGGGTCTGGGGTCTCCAGTCCCCACAGGACTGGCGTCGCTCCTTTTTGGCGCCATACTTTCAACTTGCGCAGAGACCGTGGCAGCAGGAGCTTCAGTGCTCGACATGATCGACTCACTGATCAGTGCCCGTGCGACAACCACCGACTCCAGAGGTCTCGGTGGCTGCTGCCTCTCCTCTTGCCTTACGGGTCTTGGCTTTCCCACAAATATGAGAATTGAGCCATGTATGCTGTCTTTTCACCTCCTACCGCGCTTCCAGAACATCCGTGAGGGAGGCGTGTGAGTCAACTTAGATGGCGAGCAGCCTAGGAGTAGGGATGGACTTCAGATATGTTGGCTTTAGTAGGTGCTGATGAGGTAAGCCGGTACATGGTAGAGACCGATTTTGCCGGAAAACGATTGCAGCGTCTGACATCATGGGGGTGCCAATCCTTAGTGGCCCGTTCACTTTGCCGTTGTGGGATCCCATGCAATACCATAGTGCTGTTTCTGTTTGGGTTCCTAACTGCCGACTTTCTCTCCTCCACTTTTAATAACCACAGCTTGTCGGGCCTGGCCAGGCTTTTGCATGTACTGACAATGCCCAGTCGGCCTGAGAGAAGAAGGGTGTCTTTGGCCTCTTTATCAATGCTCAAGGGTACACGCCAGGAGGGTGGCTCGTCTTGGGGTCCACGAATTTCTCGAGAAAGGCGACGCAGTTTCGCGGGGAGAGAGGGGAGGTCCAGTACCTGATAACGCTCGGCCACGTTTGGTGTCCAAACTGTTCTCTCTCGACCAGCAATAAGTCTGTCGATACATCGACGCTGAACGAGATGATCGAGTAGGCCCTCGTGTGGTACATGTTCGCCATGGGCGACATGCCCGACTTCCCAGTGGACTTGTTATGTATTTCTTCTGGCTGTTTCTAGGCCAAAATACCCAGGATGTTTGGGCCTGGTTTCGTCAAGAGTCTGGTGGAGGGGGACCTTCTTCCATGTGTTTGACGTTCTCTGCGACCCTGTAGGGGATACTGAAGTCCAACTTAATGTGGTCCTTGATCGTGTTGATGTGTGCATAGCTAAAGGCCCAGGTTTGTCTTATCCCCCCGGTGTTGGCCCCACCTTGTTTGGGGATATTGGTAGCTTTTGTGGGGTGAAGAGCACTTCTTTTAGACCCCTTCACGGGGTGTGTGGAGCTTCCTGTATTCTTAACCAACGTGCCAGAACCATTGGCACGGGTTTCGCCTCGTCAGCTTGTGGTACTTTTAGGGTACTTTACTGTCGCAGTGGTAATGGGCCTGTTGGTGACACAAGTTGCGTACGGATGCTTGATCGACTACGGACGCGACTTTCGTGCCAATACTACAACCATAGGGTGTCATGGTGCAGCTTTCCTTCCTTGGAGAGGATACTGTGGTCTGTGGTGAACTTCTTGCGGCTGCCATATTCATGTTCTTGCCGCGCCACTTCCTCTTTTTAAGCATGATCCTATCCTCGCCAGGATTGGGACTAGTTTGCAACCTGCTGGAGCTGCTCTGCGCCACCTGTTCAGTAACGACTGGTACTCTAGAAACATGGGTTGACCGTTTCTTTGTGAGATCAGTATTCTGCCCCACCTCTTTTTGTCTGCGGATACAGACTGTAGTATTATTTCGGTGGTTATTGACCGTTCTTGTGTACGGTCGCGTTATCTGCGTCAGTACTTCAGATCCACCGTTTCGGACAGACCTGACACCTTAATGTAAACTTTTTAAAGTAATAAGTATTCAGCAGTGGTAAAGAGATTGAAGACCGAATGCAGAGTGAGGACATAATGTATAGAGGAAAACAACTGATGTTGGCTCACCTTCAGACGCTCTTCACTTTTTCTTCTGCATTTGGCCAACGAATTTAACCATGAGCTCCAGGTACGTGTGTGAAACCAGGTGTTTCCTGAGGAATGATCTCTGAAGAGAACCGAGGGCTACGGCAGTCGGGCAGTTGAAAAACCGAGAACCATGGACAGAGGGTAGATTGGTGGGTTCGAAGGATCAATAGTACTGGTTTTCTCCTGTCGAGAACTACGTTGACGAATATGCAACGGTCGAGGATGTACAACAACAGGATTGTTGCAGGCATTTGGTTCTGATTGGCTGAATATTCCAAAGGAGGGTTTTCTGATGTGGGGAAATTCCAAAAATGAGAGGAAAAGCCCACATCTCAATTAAATGCATCCTTTGTTTGGAATAAGAATAGTTCTTTTCTGGTTCCTAAAAACCTGAAAGGACACAGATAAACGACAGATAATTATTCTGTGACCTATTGCTGGTGCTGCTGCACAAAATCTGTAAGACGATCGCAGTTTTCTTGGGCGCATCTCATTTTTACCATAGTAGTCTAAGTGTGCATCCAACCTCCTTTTGAAAACACTAGGAGATGGTCTGTAACAGCCCCGCCAGGGAGGAAGTTCTGTTGAAAACGCACCCTAACTGCAATCGAGTAAGCATAGATCTTCGTAAGTGCTACATCATGCCATCCCCTTGAAGGACGGCTTCCAAGGTGAACTACTGGATTACAGTTCAAGAGGAGTCTGTTAGGATGAGGAGGATTATGGCCCACATAACACACCATGACCATATTTCTTCTGATAAACCTGTACTGTACCGGTTGCAGTTTGGGAGCGACCACGCAATTCAGGTAAGTTTTGTTTGCGGCCCAGTCACATTTTCTGTAGCTCCTCTCCAGGATGGCAGCGTCTTTCTCTGAGTACATGACCAGAGAGTGGACTATCATATAGTCCTTACGCTGTAGTGAAAAGGCAGGCAGTAAGCCTTCCTAAAGCTCGAGGAAGGAGACCCAGGGATCCGTATTCCTT